CTAGAATCATTCGGGTTTAGCCGTCTTTAGAGACGTGCGGCTAAACCCAAATGATTCTAGTTCTAGGTATAGTGTTAGTTCTACATAGTAATAGTGCTAGTGTAAAACTAAAACTAACGTTATACTCAGAACTAGAATCATTCGGGTTTAGCCGTCTTTAGAGATGTGCGGCTAAACCCAAATGATTCTAGTTTTAGGTATAGTCTGAAGACGCACGGCTAAACCCGAAACTTTCTAGTTCTACGTCTAGTGTTAGTTCTAGTTTTAATGGTTATTCAGCGTTAGATTGTGTGAAGACGCACGCAAAACCATATCACTTTCTAGTTCTACGTCTAGAGTTAGTTCTAGTTTTAGTTCAATAGTTTTACTTATTAGTTTTTACAATATTTTTGCAAATTCGAGCTAAGTAGAGCTATTGACTACTTTAATCTGGTGAGCTTCGTATTGTCCATCACCTATACCAGGAAATAATGTGAGAAAATGGTTTTGTCATCATTTATTTTTCTGGATAATCACTTCTTTTGGAAATTCTTGCAAATTTTGAGGTTGAGCAGAATTTCTGACCAACTTAGTTGGAGTTATATCGTATTCCACATCATTTACATCATCGAACCGAGGAAAAAAATGTTTTTGTTGTTTTGTATTTCTCTAGAAACAGGGTTTTCTTATTTTTTTACAAATTTCGAGTTGAACAAAATTTTTGATCAATTTAGTTTGACTTGTATCCTAGTATTCATCATCTTACTTGAAATAAGGAATTAATTCAAAAGCACTTCATCAAAACCTAACTTTACTAACTTTAAAAAATTTATCTAAGTCTAAAATTATGACCGAAACGCTAAAAATCAAACAAACTAACGTTGAAGAACACTGATGACTTGAACTAACAATGATGCGTTAGATTGTTGTTTATTTCATATTGAAGTAAAACTAGAACCAACGCTAGACCTAGATCTAGAAACATTCTGATTTAGCCGCACGTCTCTCAAGACGGCTAAACCCGAATGATTCTAGTTCTAGGTCTTATGTTAGGTCTAGTGATAATGCTAGTGTAAAACTAGAACTAACACTAGATCGAGAACTAGAAACATTCGGATTTAGCCGCACGTCTCTCAAGACGACTAAACCCTAATGTTAGTTCTAGTTTTAATTGTTATTCAGCGTTAGATTGTGTGAAGACGCACACCAAAACCCTATCACTTTCTAGTTCTACGTCTAGAGTTAGTTCTTACTTAAATTTTTGCAAATTCGAGCTAAGTAGAGGTTTTGACTAATTTAATCTGGTGTGCTTCGTATTCATAACCTATACCAGGAAATAATGAGAGAAAATGATTTTGTAATGTTTTATTTTTCTGGATAATCACTTCTTCTGGAAATTCTTGCAAATTTAGAGGTTGAGCAGAATTTCTGACCAATTTAGTTTGACCTGCATTCTACTCTTCATCATTATAAAACAGCAAATGTAGACAAAAAAAATCTTTTGCCACTTCCTATTTCCTTTTGAAAAGCAGTTTTCATTGAATTCTAGCAAATTTCGAATTGAACAGAAGTTGTGATTCATTTAATTTAAATTGCATCGTATTCCTCATCGTTTATATCATTAAAGAGAGAAAAAAAAATATTTTTGTCGTGTTGTACTTCTCTAAAAACAGGTCTTTCTTATATTTCTCCTATATTTCTCTCTTTCAGTTGAGCAGATTTTCTGATCAATTTAGTTTGACTTGCATTGTAATCATCATTATCTTAAAACAGCAAATATAGATCTGATTAATTTTATTTAAATTGCATTATATTCCTCATCATTTATAGATACAAATTCAGAAAGAAAATTATTTCTGCCACTGTTTTTTTTTCTCTAGTGATGTGATTTTCTTGTAATTCTACTATCCTATCGGTGCCAAAAATCAAAACCCCTCACTTTAGAGATCGATATCTTCGCAATCCCTTGAAAAAAAGAAATTGCGTTAAAGTATGTTGTAATCACTGAACATTTCTACATAATATATGTTAATTTAAACTTTTCGGATCCGCGGTTTTCTTTTTATCGCGAGTTAAATGAAAAAAGTACCCGATTTTTTACGGTGAGGGCAACTTTGTCCACTTTGCGATTTTTTTGACTATATGACGTAAAAATTTCAATTTTGAACAGCTGGTAGCCGGATGTGTTCTTAATGAGGAGCATATTTTATTTTTGCGGTATTCCATATAAGAAAAGATGGTGCGTTCTAAACAGTACGTCGCGCCTTTATCTTACCTATATAAAAAAAAAGGCGCGACGTCCTGTCTCTGGAACACACTCTTTTCTGATTAGATTTATCGGTGCCTTGACTTTTAAAAAAAATTGCGGCAAAGTATGTTGTAATCACTGAACATTTCTACGTAACATATGTTAATTTGAAAATTTTTGGATCCGCGGTTTTTTTTTATCGCGAGTTAAATGAAAAAAGTACCCGATTTTTTACGGTGAGGGCAACTTTGTCCACTTTGCGATTTTTTTGACTATATGACGTAAAAATTTCAATTTTGAACAGCTGGTAGCCGGATGTGTTCTTAATGAGGAGCATATTTTATTTTTTCGATATTCCATATAGTTTCGCGGAAAATCGCGGTTTAGTAAGACGCCGTTATGTCGAAAACGGCTGGGTGGATTTCATCGCGGATTTGACCAAAATATGTCAAATAATTGCGTTTATCGGATACCATTATCAGTTTTTCAAAATTATGCCTCTCTAATTTTTTTAGAGCGATTTAATCAAAGTATAAATGAAAAAGAAACAGAAATAAGCTCTGCGGGGAGGGGAGGGTTCCGACCAATCGGAAAAGATGGTACGTTCTAGACAGTACGTCGCGCCTTTATCTTACCTATATAAAGAAATAAAGGCGCGACGTTCTGTCTCTGGAATAGACACCAGGACGATGGTCACAAAAGATGTTTTGTGATTGGATGGAACTCTTCTCTCTCCGCATGGCTTCTTACTGTTCCTTTTTAATTTATAATTCGTTTTAATCGCTCTAAAAAAATTAGTATAATAAATAAATATACCTATTAGTGCGAATTAAAAATTTTTCAAATAACGGATTCAAACTATACCAGACACTCCCTTTCACGTAATAGTCCATTATATGGAGGTTCTACTGTATTAATTTTATTAAATTTATTAAGATATAATTTTTTATTTGATTTATTAATTACTCAATTTATTAACTTTTATGTACCATCAATTAAATTTATAGTTATTATCAATAAAAAGAAAATTTGCTGCATCCTATTCAATAAAAATCCCAAATGACGTTTTCGTTACATAAAGTTAAGCGGAATTTTTAATTAACAAAAAAAAAATTCTTTTTCAGTGTTAGGTGACCCAAGAACGAATCAAAACCCAGCCTTACTCACCTTAGGAATCCTTTTCTTTCAATACCACAATTTCGTTGCGAATCAAATTTACAAGGACCACCCTAAATGGATGGACGAAGACGTGTTTCAAAAGGCTCGAAGAATTGTTATTGCAACCCTTCAAAATATAATCATTTATGAATATCTCCCCGCGTTTCTCGGGGAGGATTTACCACCGTATCAAGGTTACAACCCCGATTTACATCCTGGGGTAACCCACGTGTTTCAAAGCGCCGCGTTTCGTTTTGGACACTCATTAATTCCGCCGGGGATTTATCGAAGAGATGGTCATTGCAATTTTAAGAAAACGTCATCGGGTGATAAAGCGATTCGTTTATGCTCAACGTGGTGGAATTCAAATGTAAGTAGTTAATAAAAATTAATATGAAGGTTGTTCAAAGATAAGTAATTACTTAAAGAGTATTTTTTTAATTTGAATACTAAGCGTTGCTAATAAGTTAACAATAAAATGGTATTATTTATGGCTAGAAGTAAATAGTTTCATTTGACGTTGGTTATTGTTAAAGAAAAGTTTCTTTTTATTTATTATTTGTTGGTTAACCTCGCGGATTGTTGGGTAATCAAATTTTTTTTATTATTTTTCTGTGGGAAGGTTTCCCAAACTATCTTTTGGATCGTTTCGAATAATGTAGTCCACACTCGATTACAATACCTGCTTTTTTACCTTCGTGACGCATTGGAATGGTTTTATTCTTTATTATTCTTATTTATAAATTAATTTTAGTGGATTTCCCATGGTTAAACCTTTATTTATTTTTCTTTATTGTGTACTTTCCAGTACATTTAATTATCCAAGTTTTTTTCGACCTATTTTTTTAGTTCTTCCAATATATGTTGTCATAATGCAAAACCCAAACTTCTCAAGAAACTTTAATGAAAATAGTGTTATTTATACCTTAATTTTTAATAGAGAATTCTAATACTAATAAAGAAACTTCAAATTTTAACATAACCATGGATTTTATGAAAGCTTAATCGAGATTTTAAATTTTAGTCAAAAATTGTCAACCAAAAACTTCAATAAGAAGTAAGTTTTGATGAAAAGATGTAATATTAACTCAAAGTATTTCATGAAAACCTCAAATTATAACCAAAACTGTAATATGAAGTAAAGATATATCAATGAAACTAAACGAAATTCATAAAGCTTTATCAAAATATTAGTTCAGATCACGAATTAAACAACCAAGCCTAATCAAATTCAAAAACTTCATCTAAGTCTCAAATTATAACCGAAACGCTAAAAATCAAGCAAAGCAACTTCAATTAAACAAGGCAGAAATCATTAATAAATAATAAATAACTTCTACTTGCTTTATTTAAATATACAGTCGTACATGTTTCAGGAAATTACGACTGTATATTTAAGTACGACTGTATATTTAAATAAAGCAAGTAGAAGTTATTTATTATTTATTACATATTTAACTTGCAACATGGATTCCAATATAGAAATCATTAAATTTCTTCAAAATCTTAATTTTGATCAGAAAATTTAATGTTAACTTAAAAAACTTCATTGAAATGTACCCAAACTGACGAAACTTCATCATAACTTGAAATTATAGTCGAAACTGTAATATCAAGTAATGAAACCTCAATAAAACCAATCGTAATTCATGAAACTTTATCAAAATCTTAGTTCTGATCACGAATTAATCAAAAAAAATGCATCAAAGCCTAACCAAATTCAAAAACTTCATCTAAGTCTCAAATTATAATCGAAACGTTAAAAATCGAGCAAAGCAACTTCAATGAAATAAGTCAGAAATCATTAAACTTCTTCAAAATCTTAATTTTGATCTGAAAATTTAATGTTAACTTAAAAGACTTCATTGTAATGTACCCAAACTGACGAAACTTCATGATAACTTGAAATTGTAGCTGAAACTGTAATATCAAGTAAAGATATATCAATGAAACAAACTTAATTCATAAAACTTTATCAAAATCTTAGTTCAGATCACGAATTAATCAAAAAAACTTCATCGAAGCCTAACCAAGTTCAAAATCTTCATCTATGTCTAAAATTATAACCGAAATGCTAAAAATCGAGCAAAGCAACTTCAATGAAATAAGACAGAAATCATTAAACTTCTTCAAAATCTTAATTTTGATGTGAAAATTTAATGTTAACTTAAAAGACTTCATTGAAATGTACCCAAACTGACGAAACTTCATCATAACTTGAAATTATAGTCGAAACTGTAATATCAAGTAATGAAACCTCAATAAAACCAATCGTAATTCATGAAACTTTATCAAAATCTTAGTTCTGATCACGAATTAATCAAAAAAAAATGCATCAAAGCCTAACCAAATTCAAAAACTTCATCTAAGTCTCAAATTATAATCGAAACGTTAAAAATCGAGCAAAGCAACTTCAATGAAATAAGACAGAAATCATTAAACTTCTTCAAAATCTTAATTTTGATCTGAAAATTTAATGTTAACTTAAAAGACTTCATTGTAATGTACCCAAACTGACGAAACTTCATGATAACTTGAAATTGTAGCTGAAACTGTAATATCAAGTAAAGATATATCAATGAAACAAACTTAATTCATAAAACTTTATCAAAAACTTAGTTCAGATCACGAATTAATCAAAAAAACTTCATCGAAACCTAACCAAGTTCAAAATCTTCATCTATGTCTAAAATTATCACCGAAATGCTAAAAATCGAGCAAAGCAACTTCAATGAAATAAGACAGAAACCATTAAACTTCTTCAAAATCTTAATTTTGAACTGAAAATTTTATATTAACTTAAAAGACTTCATTGAAATGCACCCAAACTGACGAAACTTCATGATAACTTGAAATTACAGCTGAAGCTGTAATATCACGTAAAGATATATCAATGAAACAAACTTAATTCATAAAACTTTATCAAAATCTTAGTTCAGATCACGAATTAATCAAAAAAACTTCATCGAAGCCTAACCAAGTTCAAAACCTTCATCTATGTCTAAAATTATAACCGAAATGCTAAAAATCGAGCAAAGCAACTTCAATGAAATAAGACAGAAATCATTAAACTTCTTCAAAATCTTAATTTTGATCTGAAAATTTAATGTTAACTTAAAAGACTTCATTGAAATGTACCCAAACTGACGAAACTTCATCATAACTTGAAATTATAGTCGAAACTGTAATATCAAGCAATGAAAGCTCAATAAAACAATACATAATTCATGAAACGTTATCAAAATATTAGTTCAGATCACGAATTAAGCAACCAAGTCTAACCAAATTCAAAAACTTCATCTAAGTCTCAAATTATGATCGAAACACTGAAAATCAAACAAAATAACTGTAATGACGTAAGATAGAATCCATTAAACTTCGTCAAAACTTTAATTTTGATCTGAAAATTTAATTTTAACTCAAAAGACTTCATTGAAACCTACCGAAACTAACGAAACTTCATCATAACTTGAAATTATAGCCAAAGCTGCAACATCAAGCAATAAAACTTCAATGAAACTAAACGTAGTCCATAAAACTTTATCAAACTTTTAGTTCAGACCACGAATTAATTAAAAAAAATTCATCGAAGCCTAATCAAATTCAAAAACTTCATCTAAGTCTCAAATTATACAAGAAACGCTAAAGATCAAGCAAAGCAACTTCATTGAAACAAGACAGAATCTATTAAACTCGTCAAAACTTTAATTTTGATCTAAAAAATTTATTTTAACTCAAAAAACTTCATTGAAACTGTCGAAACTTTATCATAACTTAAAATTATAACTAAAATGTTAGTATCAAGTGAACACACTTCATTAAAATACGACCAAATCGAAAAATAATCAAATCATTCTTGAAACTTGAATGAAATCAAACTTAATTCTTGAAACTTCATCAAAATCTTCACTCTTAACATACAAATTTTCCTTTTAATAGGAAAAACTTTGTTGATGTTAACAAATTTTAACAGAAAGATTGCTATCAACAAAAGAAATTAATCAAAAAAACTTCATCGAAGCCTAACCAAGTTCAAAATCTTCATCTATGTCTAAAATTATAACCGAAATGCTAAAAATCGAGCAAAGCAACTTCAATGAAATAAGACAGAAATCATTAACCTTCCTCAAACTCTTAATTTTGATCTGAAAATTTAATGTTAACTTAAAAGATGTCATTGAAACCTAACAGAACTGACGAAACTTCATCATAACTTGAAATTATTGCCAAAGCTGCAACATCAAACAATGAAACCTCAATGAAACTAAACGTAATCCATAAAATTTTATCAAAATCTTAGTTCAAATCAGGAATTATTGAAAAGAAGTTCATCGTTGCCTAACTAAATTCAAAAACTTCATCTAAGTCCCAAATTATAACCGAAACCCAAAAAATTAAGCAAAATAACTTCATTGTAACAAGACAGAATCCATTATACTTCTTCAAACCCTTAATTTTGATCTGAAAACTTAATGTTAACTTAAAAGTCTGTATTGAAATCTAAGCTAACTGACAAAACTTCATCATAACTTGAAATTATAGCCAAAGTTGTAGCATCAAGCAATGATACCTCAATGAAACTAAACATCATCCATAAAACTTTATCAAACTCTTAGTTGAGACCACGAATTAATCAAAAAAACTTCATCGAAGCCTAACCAAATCCGAAAACTTCATCCAAATCCCAAATTATAACCGAAACGCTAAAAATCAATCAAAATAACTTCAATGAAATAAGACAGAAATCATTAACCTTCCTCAAACTCTTAATTTTGATCTGAAAATTGTTAACTTAAACTTCTTAATGTTAACTTAAAAGATGTCATTGAAACCTAACAAAACTGACGACACTTCATCATAACTTGAAATTATTGCCAAAGCTGCAACATCAAGCAATGAAACCTCAATAAAACTAAACGTAATCCATAAAACTTTATCAAAATCTTAGTTCAAATCAGGAATTATTGAAAAGAACTTCATCGTTGCTTAATTAAATTCAAAAACTTCATCTAAGTCCCAAATTATAACCGAAACGCAAAAAATTAAGCAAAGCCTTAATTTTGATCTGAAAACTTAATGTTAACTTAAAAGTCTGTATTGAAACCTAAGCTAACTGACGAAACTTCATCATAACTTGAAATTATGGCCAAAGTTGTAGCCTCAAGCAATGAAACCTCAATGAAACTAAACATCATCCATAAAAGTTTATCAAAATTTTAGTTCAAATCACAAATTATTCAAAAGAACTTCATCGTTGCCTAACTAAATTCAAAAACTTTATCTAAGTCCCAAATTATTGCCGAAATGCTAAAAATCACGCAAAACAACTTCGTTGTAACATGACAGAATCCATTAAACTTCTTCAAAACCTTAATTTTGATCTGAAAATTTAATGTTAACTTAAAAGACTGTATTGAAACTTAAGCAAACTAATGAAACTTCACTATAACTTGAAATTACAACCAATATGTTAGTATCAAGCAAAAAAACTTCATTAAAACCAGATCACATCGAAAAAAATCATGTTATTCTTGAAACTTGCATGAAGTGAAAGTTATTTCATGAAAATTCATCAAAACCAATATAAACTTCATTGATTTTAACAAATTTTAACAGAAAGTTTAGTATCAACAAAAAGAATATCAATTAATTCATACTGCATCTATGAAACTTCATTATAAACCTCATTTGAAAGAGGATATTTAACATTATCGTAAAAACATCAATTTTATAAATACAATACAAGAAACTTCATCGGACCATCAATTTTGATTGAAGAATTTAATATTACCTCAACAAACTTCATCGAAATCTAACCAAATTGACGAAACTTCATCATAACTTGTAATTGTAATCGAAATATTAGTATCAAATAAAGAGTGTTCATTAAACACAAAGAGAATTCATGAAACTTCATCAAAACTCAAATTTTGAACAAGAAGTTCAATATAAATATAAAAACTTTAACCAATCGTCAATTTTTTAAGCAAAAATTTGAATATACATCAAGAACTTCATCGGAACATCAATTTTAATTGAAAAGTTTAATATTCACTTTTAAACTTCATTCAAATCTAACAAAAGAGAAGATTCTTCAAAAAAACTTGAAATATAACAAAAACTGTAGAAATTAAACGAAAGAACTTAAATGAAACTGAATGGAATGTATGAAGTTTACTCTTTACTCAAGAAAACTTCTTCAAAGCATAACTACATTCACAAAATCTTCATCTCAGTTTCAAATTATAGCCGAAACATTAAAACCAAACAAAAAACTTCAATTAAACAATGCAAAATTTACTACACTTCTTTATAACCTTCATTCTGATCTGAAGTTTTGATGTTAACTCAATATACTACATCTGAACCTAGCAAAATTGGCTAAACTTCATCGTAACTTGCGATTAAAACCGAAATATTAGCATCAAACAAAAAGCTTCATTTAAGCAGGAATTTTAAAAAGGAACTTCAAAGAAGTCACATTTAATCCAGTGCAACTTCATGAAAGTTTTAATTTTCAATTTAAGGATATCATCGAAATTTTAATTTTTATCTTATTATATTATTATTTATCTTATTATATCTTTTATATTATAATTTAACTTAATAATCTTCATGGAAATGTAACCAAATAAAAGAAACTTCAATTTCTTCTTTTTAACCTAAAAAAATGTCATCTCAGTATCATATTTAGTATCTCTTCTTCCCTGAGTTTATCCAACTGATTTTGACTTCTAATAATAGCGACTTTAAATTGTTAACGAAATGAATTATTAGCCTTTTCCTTCAAGTTGTAATATTCTATTTTTTTTTTTAAATTTTTTCAGGAAGTATTAACTCACAACACAGTTGAAGAACTTCTTTTAGGAATGGTATCCCAATTAGCAGAACGAGAAGATGCACTTTTATGCTCAGACGTTAGAGACAAACTTTTCGGACCAATGGAATTCACAAGAAGAGATTTGGGCGCTTTGAACATTATGAGAGGAAGAGACAACGGTCTTCCGGACTACAACACGGTCAGAGCAAGTTATAATTTGCCAAAAATAACCGAATGGGCCGACATAAACCCCGAATTATTTCAACTACACCCAGAAATTTTAGAAAATTTAAAAACCCAATACAAAGATGATATTAATAATGTTGATGTTTACGTTGGGGGGATGTTGGAAAGTTATGGTAGACCGGGCGAATTATTTAGAACGGTTATAATCGATCAATTTACAAGAATTCGAGATTCTGATCGATTTTGGTTCGAAAATATTAATAATGACTTATTTACTGATGAAGAAATCGATCAAATTCGTAAAACAACTCTTTATGATGTTATCGTAAAAAGCACTACTATCAATCCGGAAGAATTACAAAAAGATGTATTCTTTTGGAAAGATGGCGATGTTTGTCCTCAACCCGAACAATTAAATGCAACAACATTAAAGCCGTGTAATTATTTAAAAGGATACGATTATTTCGAAGGAAACGAATTGGTTTATATCTACGCTTGCGTTTTTCTTGGTTTTGTTCCGATAGTTTGCGCGGGTGCTGGTTACGGTGTTGTTAAATTACAAAATAAACGTAGGAGACGATTAAAAATTAAACAAGAAGAATTAAAAAACGCTTCCGAAGGAAAACTTCCAATCGATACGATGATTGTTCAAGAATGGCTTCATGCAAATCATAAAAGAATCGTTAAAATTAAATTTGGACCAGATGCTTGTATTAATGTGACCGGAAGGAAAGGTGAAAAATTAAGGAGTGTTGATTTTAAGAGTTGCGATCATGTCAGTATCGAAGAATCGGTTGATATGACCGGAAAAAGAAATCCTTTGGTTCTAATTAGAGTTCCAAAAGATCACGATTTAGTTCTTGAATTCGATAACATCGGTTCTAGAAAAAAATTTATTCACAAACTTGAAATGTTTTTAGCATCGAATAAAAAAAATTTAAACACAAAGCAAGTCGTTAGAGAATTATTATTAGCCAAAGCCGAAACGAGAGAGAGAAGACAAAAAAAATTAGAACATTTCTTTAGGGAAGCTTACGCTTTAACTTTTGGACTTCGCCCCGGAGAACGTCGACGAAGATCGAGTTCATCTTCAGATGGCGAAGTTGTAACAGTTATGAGAACGTCTTTAACCAAAGCGGAATTTGCAAGCGCTCTTGGAATGAAACCGGATGCCGTTTTTGTTAAGAAAATGTTTAACATCGTCGATAAAGACGGAGATGGGAGGATTTCATTTCAAGAGTTCTTAGACACCGTCGTTTTATTCTCTCGGGGAAAAACCGAAGATAAATTAAGGATTATTTTCGATATGTGCGATAACGATAAAAATGGCGTTATTGATAAAGGGGAGTTATCGGAAATGTTGAGATCGTTAGTTGAAATTGCTAGAACTACGAGTTTATCTGATGATCATGTTACGGAGTTAATTGAAGGAATGTTTCAGGTAAAACATAATTATTTAAAGTTTGGTTAAGATGATTAAAATTTGTTTATTAAATTTAGGATGCCGGATTAGAAGAAAAAGATTTTTTAACGTATGAAGATTTTAAGGAAATGATGAAAGAATATAAAGGTGATTTTGTTGCGATTGGTTTAGATTGTAAAGGAGCTAAACAAAACTTTTTGGATACATCAACAAATGTTGCAAGGTAAAATTTTATATGTTTAATAAGATGTAATTTATGTTTGTTGTTAAAATCTCTTATATCAGATAAATTTGCTAAGAAGGTGATAGAAATGGGTTTCGTTCTTTCTCCATCTTCGGTTTTATGTTATTGGTATTAATTTTGGTATTCAGAAGTTTCTGTGATATCATCTAATCATTCTGAAATTGAATTCGTCAGAATGCCTCTAACTCTCCTATTCAATATAAAACTGTTCAGAAACGCTAATTTTATTTTGCACATTACCAGTGTATATTCAGATATTAGTGTATGGAAAAGTCAATTCTCAAGACTTAGACCCATAAAACTGTTCTACAAGTGCGATTGTCACTTGATAAGATAAATTGGAATTTTCTTTAATGAAGCTGTCTTGTTCCAAAATTATTTTTGTTTCTATCCTATTGATTGTTCTCTTGAACCATGAATTTACAACTATGTATACCCATGTCTAAATCACACTCTGTGTTAAAGTATATCATCATTTACTTCAAAACTATCGTTTTCTAAATCTTGAATAATTTTGCAATATTATGCATCAACGATATTGTAATTAATTCTCAGCGTTAATCTATCTCCATCCATAAATAGAGTCTCATGACTAGCAACATGTATCTTAATGATAAAATCACAATTATCCACTTGGATTTTTCTTTTAAACCTTCCTTCTTTCGAATATATTGAGTTGCCAACCCTCTATCAATCCTTGAATCTCATTATCATTTATAGTAAGCAGATGTTTCTTATTTGTCACTTCAACTGCATAACATCTTTAAATCCATCCTTGATTATCTTCATTCAAAGTAGATGGTAATTTACCAGAAAATATCATTGGTATATCAATGATATTAAAATATCACATGCTTCAGCCTTGTATTATGACATTCGACCAGCAACTTTGGCTTTATCAAGCGACATCACCCTTTTTTGTCTTAGTTAAGCCAAGGTCACTTGCGGCCGAGGCATTACAGTTGTCCAAGATTCAAGGGCCTCGCCAGAAAAGAACGCGCTGCTCTCCCTTAGAGTTTTTAAAGAGAATTTTCCTATTATAATGGAGCCCTTTGAAACCTTGTCACAGGAAGGAAATAGTGCGACTAGAAAAATGCTTATCAGCTCCATGCAGCAGCTCTAGAGTTTCGTTTATTCTCAGCTTTATTTTGATAGCCAAATACTCGGCTATGATGGAACCTGTAGTAAACGTGCTCCAATCCGCAGCTTTGAATGCAGTTAAGGCATTCGGTCCAGAAAACATTACAGATGAAACTCTTTCTGCAATTATCGTTGCACAAAAAATTGGACTGGGAGAAGACATGAAGTCAGTATTGTTGTGAAACAACAACATCGCAACAACCACCCAGCAGCAAGCCCCTCAGAATTCTGGCGGAGCTCTTTAATAAAACCAGCTTCGATTATTAATTCTCTTGAAGTTCGCTTTTCTGAAGAAAACGCTCAGACTATTTCCTTATCTAAATTACACCCGGCTGAAATGTTAGATTCCAGTCTTGCCATGATGAGAAGGAAGCATATTTTTAAGAACTTTGAGGGTTTTATTAATAATGTGGTTAACCAATTCGCTAAGAACCCACGAAAATTATGTTTTAAATAATGTGGCTTGTTTTTTTAATTAAATATAGACTAATAAAATAGGCAGCATATATCCCAGTGTTATCGACGTCCTAAACTATTTCGTGTAAATACGATAGTTTCTCTTCACTCTAAATCTTCAATGAAAAGAAAACCGCCAAAAGATCCTTCTTCACGAAGTCTTTTCCCAATTTTACAATTTATTAAATGTCAACAACGAAATCGAACTATGGCTAAAACTCTGGCAAGATAAACCTGACTGAAGAGAACTAAGTGTAGTGGATGTCATAAAAGAGGCCGACATTTTTTTCTCTGAAACAAGAAAAGCCCTTATAATTTTGGTCATTTTACCCTACACGACAGGTACTGTTGAACGATCTTTTAGCTTTTAGCTTGAGAAGAATAAAAACCTGACTTAGAACCACTATGGTAGAATGTCGTCTCAATAGTCTTGCCATGATGAGGAGGAAGCATATTTTCGAGAACTTTGAGGGTTGACCAATGAATAATGTGGTTGACCAATTCGCTAAGAACCCACGAAAATTATGTTTTAAATAATGTGGCTTTTTTTTTAGTTAAATGTAGACTAATAGAATAGACAGCAAATATCCCAGTGTTCTAAACTACAAGAAACAGCAGAAATAACTCCCATAATTTAAAAAATACTACGAGGTTCTTCATGTAGATAAAAGGTTGAGGTTCAGTCGGTACTATGCGATGTATAGTGGAGACTTTTTCGACAAGACGAATCTATAGTTCCCAATGGAAGTCTTTCAGTTACGATTTTATCGTGGGTTCATAAAGTAAAGGTCATCTGTTCGTACTTTGGGCATAGTTTCTCTTCACTCTAAATCTTCAATGAAATGAAAACCACCAAGAGATTCTTCTTTGTTTTCTTCTTTGCAGAAGCCATAGAGACTTATTCATCTTTTTGGAGATTGTTCTAGCGTCATTTTGGATCTGCTGGTCTGCAATCTCTGACAAATCCTTGTCAGTTCATTTCTTTCATTATTTCTTTATTGCATTCATCTTATCACATCTTCTGTCTGGCATTCCTCCCAAATTTTATTGCACCATTCGTTTTGACTTACGCTATGTTTGCTCGCACCTCCGCAGTATATATTATTAGCCTGACGCAGCCTTTGTATATCCTCACTTTGATCAAGAGATTACAGTAGCTTGTATAGATGGTCTTTCTTAGTGCTCCCCCTATTCTGGCTGACTTCATCAACAAGTCAGTGTGAACAACATGTGTTCTCATGTTGTTCCTGAGTTCTCCATTAAGACGACTTTCTCCAAATTAGTCCCTTTGTGGATATCTAATGGAAGGGTTTACGCAAACGGCGGAAAATTACTACATCAGTGTAAATATGCTGCATAGAGTGACTTTAATCATGGTAAAGCTAGTTCACGAACTGAACAAGGCAGTGAATTTGCTATTAGGTAGTCAATAGTGATTTCTTTGTCCCTGCTATTTGAGAAAGTGGATTTTTTTTGATTGTTGTGGATAAAGAAGGTATTTCGGGATACTTTCTGTAAAATCCTGGATCTGGTTGTAGAAATTCTTTATTTCTTCCTTTGGTTTGCTGGAATCCTATACATATACACTAATAAAATGAGATAGAGTTGTTTTCAAATTTTTTGAGTATTAACTGATCGCCACAACAATACATAGTTGCTATATTTAGTGGATTCACTTCCTCTCCAATTCGTTTGTGATATGGCGTAGATATCTATATGGTGCCTATTCAATTTCATAATAATTTCTTAATCCTTATTCCATGATTTAATATTCCACGATATAAGTCGTGTCAGATTCTTCTTCCAGCATCTCTTGTTCTTTTTTCTCGCCATGTCGTTATCGCAAGACTGTTATATGTATATCCGAGTTTGATTTCTTGTTCCTTCAACTAATTTTGTTTTTACTATTGGCAGGAGACTATCCTCGCCCTCCAGGAGTGAATCCTTCTCCTTTACCTATGCTTTGAACCAACAACGTGGCTAAAAAGCTACTCAATCTACTTAGCGTCCATGTCGGTGGATTTTTAGGGAGTTTTCTTCTTTTAGGGATGATCTTACTTAACCCGAACCAACCCACCCTCTTCCTTATTTGCTTCTACCGTTTTAGAATTGTGTTACACTTTAAAATCGATTTAGACAGATATTTAGGGTGTGATGATGTTGAAAAGCTTAAATCCATTCAAATCGAATCGGTTTTATTCCAGTTTTATTTAATAACTTCTTAACATCACCTCAATTAACTCTCAACCATAAATATTCCAGTTGAACAACCCCAAATCTACAACATATCTTTCAACACACAACATCTTAGATATCCAGTTCTTCTCCTTACATTTTATTTTACAAACTAACTGCTAGAGTTATTTTTATTAATGTTTTTACCCATATTTATTTTGAAATAAAATTGCAAAACAATTACATTAAAATGAAACGATTTTTTTTATTGTTAAAAACCTGAACAAGAATTTACCATCTCATCGCTCATCAAAAATAACTCTTTAATTTTTTTTTAGAATGACAAGTTTTCATATTGAACCATCAACAGAATCAGACAGTAATTATTTCATCTTAAAATGGAATTCTTTAACAACGTTCCTAGAAGAAAACAGACAAAACATCTTTTATTTATTCATATTTTACGTCGTCACAATCGGATTATTCGTCGAAAGATTTATTCGTAAGTTTCACAAAACTTAATTATCTTAACAATTAAAAAATTTCTTTTTAGATTATTCTTTTATGGCCGAACACACCGATTTACGCCACATCATGGGAGTTGGAATAGCAATAACTCGTGGTTCAGCAGCCTCCTTATCATTTTGTTACAGCATCCTTTTATTAACGATGTCCAGGAATTTATTAACAAAATTAAAAGAATTTTCAATACAACAATACATTCCTTTAGACGCCCACATTCAATTTCACAAAATCGCCGCTTGTACGGCATTATTTTTTTCTCTTTTACACACAGTCGGGCACATTGTTAATTTTTACCACGTTTCAACACAACCACTTGAACATTTGAAGTGTTTAACCAGCGAAGTGAGGTTCCCATCTGATTATAAACCTGACATATCTTTTTGGTTATTCCAAACAATTACAGGTATTTTTAAAAAAGAATATAAAAATTAAATAAAATTTAATAATGTTGTTTTAGGATCTACGGGAGTCGTTTTATTTGTTGTTATGTGCATAATTTTTGTGTTTGCTCATCCTACGATAAGAAAACGAGCTTATAATTTCTTTTGGGCAACTCATCAATTGTATATCGTTCTTTATGCTTTTTCTTTAATTCATGGAGTTGCAAGATTAACGGGGGCTCCAAGATTTTGGATTTTCTTTGTTGGTCCTGGTGTTATTTTTGCTCTAGATAAAGTATTAAATTTAAATTTTTTTCTTCATTAATTAATATTATTCTAATTTCTTAGATGGTTAGTTTGCGCACTAAATACATTCCTTTAGATGTGATCGAAACGGAACTTCTTCCATCCGATGTTATTAAAATAAAATTTTATCGCCCGCCGAATTTAAAATATCTATCTGGGCAATGGGTTCGACTGGCATGCACTTCGTTTAAGAGTAGAGAGTTCCATTCTTTTACATTAACTTCAGCTCCTCATGAAAACTTTTTATCGTGCCACATCAAAGCTCAAGGTATTTTTGAATCAATTTTAACCAAATTAAAACTTAATCTTGTTATTTTTAAGGCCCATGGACTTGGAAATTACGAAATTATTTCGACCCATGCAACTATAACCCCGAAGAGCAACCAAAAATCCTTTTAGAAGGCCCTTTTGGTGGTGGAAATCAAGATTGGTACAAATTTGAAGTTGCTGTTATGGTTGGTGGTGGTATTGGAGTCACACCTTACGCCTCAATATTAAATGATTTAGTTTTTGGAACATCTACAAACAGATATTCAGGAGTCGCTTGCAAAAAGGTTTAAATTCAAACCTAATTAATTAAAAAAAAATAAATTTAATTTTTAGGTTTATTTCTTATGGATTTGCCCCTCTCACAAACACTTTGAGTGGTTCATTGATGTTTTACGCGATGTTGAAAAGAAAGATGTCACCAACGTCTTAGAAATTCACATCTTTATCACGCAATTTTTCCATAAATTCGATTTAAGAACAACGATGTTGTATATTTGCGAGAATCATTTTCAAAGATTAGCGAAAAATTCGATGTTTACGGGATTGAAGGCGGTTAATCATTTCGGCCGTCCCGATATGATATCGTTCTTGAAATTCGTTCAAAAGAAACACAGTTATGTAAGATGATTCAACGATTTCTCTAATTACTTTTTAATGAATTCTTTTATTAATTATTTTAGGTGAGTAAAATCGGCGTTTTTAGTTGCGGACCTCGCCCGTTAACTAAAAGCGTTATGACAGCTTGTGATGATGTGAATAAAGGCAGAAAACTTCCGTATTTTATACATCATTTCGAAAATTTTGGTTAAAATGATATCTTGCTTAACTTAATAATGAATATTAATTAGAAACTTAATGTATTTATGTAATTTTTTTCGTATTTGTAAATATTTTGTAAATATTAAAATGGGTGTAGACAATTTTTTTAATAATTATAATAAAACCAAGCTTTTTATTTTTAACGCAACTTTCGTATTACTTCGTTTCAAAACGATTTGTAATAAGACTTTTACTATTTAGTCATGGTTGACTTCCTTTTCTAAGACATAATCAAATAAGATCATCAACCACATTATTCCCCTTCTGTTCAAACTTATTTAAACGAATTCTTATCCGATCGATGAATATGCAGAATTGAATTGCCATCGAGATCACCAAATTAGATTTTGATGAACTTCTTTCTATAATGATACATAAACAATACGTTTACACCACTCGCCCATATACTTTAGGTGGTTTTAGTTTATCAAAATCTGATATGTAGTTCTGTGAATAAGTTCTAATATAGAAAAGTGTTGGGCTGAATTTAAAAATCGTAAATGTGGTATCCAAATGATCTGGATCCAATCTTAACACTATTTTTCAAACCTTATTCAAACCAACCTTATTAATAAGTTTTAAAGACCCAGCCCCGACATGTTTCTGTATTGGGTGAATGTTTTGGAAATACTGTAGCACTCACTCATAAATGTTTGAGGTTTATTCACAATTCATTTTATATGCATTATTAAAAATCATGTTTTCTCAAAAATGATTTGAAATTTAAAGCAGTTAATATAATATGGACTTTTATAAATCATCAATTTAATTTGACGTTTCTTGGGAGCGATTAAAGAAAAAAAATGATTTTTCCAAAACGTTTAGAAAGTAAGCAATATAACTTGGTAAGGTTATAAAGGGACGTTTGAAATTACGTTATACCAAATTTTAAAATTCAATCATGAATAATTTATTTTATATGCAATTTTAAAAAACATGGGTTTACCTTGATGTTTGTTAAATGTGGTTACAGAAAAAATTGTTTTCTTCAAAACGATTAGAAATTAAGCAATAAAACTTTTTGAGGTTATAAAAAAACGTTTGGGATTAGGATGTACCAAATTTAAACGTTCCATGCCAAGCAGTTCATTTTATATGGACTTCTAAAAATCATTAATTTAGTTTGACGTCATTTCTTGGGAGTGATTAAAAAAAATGATTTCTCCAAATCGATTAGAAATTAAGCAATAAAACTTTTTGAGGTTATAAAGGGACGTTTGAGATTAGGTTGTACCAAATTTTAAGCTTCCATGACAAGCAGTTCATTTTATATGGACTTTTAAAAATTATCAATTTAGCTTGACGTTTCTTGGGACTGATTAAAGAAAAAACATGATTTCTCCTAAACGATTAGAAATTAACCAATAAAACTTTTTGAGGTTATAAAGGAACGTTTGAGATTAGGTTGTACCAAATTTACAGTTTCCATGACAAGCAGTTCATTTTATATGGACTTTTAAAAATCACGAATTTAGTTTAACGTTTCTTGGAAGTGATTAAAGAAAATAAATGATTTTTCCAAAACGACTAAAAATTAAGCAATAAAACTTTTTGATGTTATAAAGGAACGTTTGAGGTTTGATTGTACCAAATTTAAAGGTTCCATGGCAAGCAGTTGATTTTATATGGACTTCTAAAAATCATTAATTTAGTTTGACGTTTCTTATGACCGATTAAAGAAAAAAAGTGATTTCTCCAAAACTATTAGAAATTAAGCAATAAAACTTTTTAAGGTTACAAAGGAACGTTTGAGATTAGGTTGTAACAAATTTAAAGATTCCATAACAATCAGTACCCTGATAGATAACATACCAAATTTCATCGTGCGGTCCAATGCTCTTAATGAACATCAATACCTTGCTCGGTGAAAACTCATTCAGATCCTTTGGAGAGATAAAGTGCGACCCAACAATCGACAAGTTGAGTTGAGCCCTTAAATGGGCAGTGCCCAGTAAAGACACCCATTAGAACTTTAATGCTGCTATGAGCAAGTCCCAAAATATTCCCAAGTTTGACAGTGGCGATGTTAATCAACAACTTAGCGTGTCTCATTCCAAGAGAGTAATTAGTAGGCGAAGTCTCTCTTCGCAAATGATATACCAACTGCTGGCTCTGGCCTCACCTACGGTTTAGCCCTCTCGTGCTAGCTCATCTGCCGCTTCATTGCCAGCAACTCCAAAGTGACCTGGGACCCAGATCAGAAAACTCTATTATCATAACTCGGTGTGTTTAAAGTTCTTTTACAGTCATTAACCAGAGCCGACACCGTGTTCATTGCCTGTAGTGTCTGGAGAGCGGCTTGACTGTCTGAGAAAAATTGTACTGTCATGTTCTTCACCCTTCTTTCAAGAAGGATTCTAGCACCCATCTCAATAGTCCTCTTCATGTAACACTGATTTCCGTCCGATTTCAATTTTATCCGTACTATCAAAAGCTCTTGAACGCTTAGTTTATTTACAGGTTCAAGGATTTCTAGAGAGGTTTAATTTACACAATGAGTTGCAATCGGGTTTTCGCAGTGGGCATAGTACAACTACTGCTCTCATTAAAGTTACTGATGATATTAGGTATGCCTGCGACAACAGATGTGTTACTGTGCTGGTACTGCTCGATTTCAGCAAGGCTTTTGATTCTGTCGACCACAGCCTTCTTTTAGCGTCTCTTTCTGCCTACGGATTCACTCCCCCCTGTGTTTCTTGGTTTCAATCCTACCTTTCCCATCGCTCCTTGTGCGTACGCGCTAACTCTTCAATTTCTTCTGCTTGTGCAATCAAATGTGGTGTTCCTCAGGGCAGTGTATTGGGTCCGTTACTTTTTTCTTTGTTCGTTAATAGTGTTACTAATTATATCTCGTGTAATTATCATTTGTATGCCGACGACCTGCAGATATATACTACTACTACTGTTGCTGAATTTCCGGCAGCTATTGTGCGACTTAATAACGATCTATCTAACGTCTTGAACTGGTCTCGGAGATACGGACTTAAGTTGAACTCAGTTAAAACGCAAGCTATTGTGTTTGGAACTCGTCAATTACTTGGTAAGATTAATCCATCTGCCTGCAGTGATCTGATGCTGGATGGTAATGTCATACGGTTTTCTAACACAGTTAAAAATCTTGGAGTCCTTATGGATTCTGCACTGTCTTGGAAACCGCAAATTCAACATGTTTGCAGAAAAGTCTATGCTTGCTTCCACTCTTTAAAAAGACTTCGCTGCTCTCTTCCTCCTGTGGTGCGTCGTAATCTTTGTTACTCTCTTATATTTCCTCACTTCGACTATGCGGACGCGGTTTATCCCGATCTCTCGGTGACTCTTCTGAGTAAATTGCAGCGGCTACAAAATAATTGTATCCGGTTCATATTTGACCTAAATAGATTTGAGCATGTAACGCCGTATCGCAATTACATTCAGATGTTAACCTGTGAGAGACGTAGATCCTTTCGTTTATTAACCATTTTATTTAAAATCCTTCATAACTGCACCCCAAAGTACTTATCAGATAGGTTCCAGCAATTATCAACTCATGAGCTTGCTACTCGTTCACGTTCTGATACTATTCTTACATTTCCTGTTCATAGCACTGAAATTTATCACAGACCATGCCTTCTGAAATTCGTAATATTTCTAACATTGCTAATTTTAGACATGTTTTAAAGAGCCACTTGCTTGCCCTTCAACTGGCTGTTTCCTGATTCTTTGTTCTTTGGCAACTTGTTGGCAACTGATATCCGGCAGATTCTTTTGGCCTCTTTTGCCGCTCTCTCCCTCTTTTCGTGTCTTTTCTTTGTTTTTCTCTTTTTCTTGCTTAATCTTATTTGGTGATAAATGTTAATAATATCTAATTATCACTACTTGCCATATTCAGTAAATATTATTTTTGTTTGTTCTGTTGGGTCATTTGGCAGAGAACGCTTGTGCGATAAAATGATCCATTTGCTGATACTGCTCATACTTCTTATATTGTTTAAGTTTAAATTTATCCATTGCTCGACTAACAATCGACAATGGGATTTTATGTATATATTTTTGTTCTTATTCTTTTTTTTTATTGTTTTTTCTTCTTGTGTACCTTATGTAATTTTGTATTCTCCAACCATTTTGGGAGGAATGCGGGGGGGCGTAAAGTCTGAAATTGCAATAGTTATAAACTAGACTTCAGCAAAAAACAGGAATTACATTGTTCAAAGTCCACATGAAGTCTGAAATTACTGTTCAGAGAAAACAAAAAATTGATTATAAACCAAACATGATTTTTCATGGCTATTGTTATGTGTTCAATAAAAGAATGCGAAGAATATGAACAAGAAACCAATGGACTTGTGTTGTTATTGCACAGGACAGGAAATCACCAATACGGAAAACTTTGCCAATGCAGGATAAGCACAAAAGCAAATATAACAGTTGCAGAAATGAGGTACCGGGTGGTACAAGATCCGTATAGATAATAAGAGGCTCCCAAAAAGATGATGGTCTATCCCCCAGAAAGAAGTAGCTGTCAGTATCAAGAACAAGACATACATAACGTTGGCAGAAGACTAGATACTGCTTCTAAAAAAGTAAATACTGCTTTCTGAAGACTAGATACTGCTCTGGAAGATTAAATACTGCTTTCTGAAGACTAGATACTGCCNATTAAAGAAAAAACATGATTTCTCCTAAACGATTAGAAATCAATCAATAAAACTTTTTGAGGTTATAAAGGAACGTTTGAGATTAGGTTGTACCAAATTTTAAGATTCCATAACAAGCAGTTCATTTTATATGGATTTTTAAAAATCATCAATTTAGTTTGATGTTTCTTGGAACTGATTAAACAAAAAAAATAATTTCTCCAAAACGATTAGATATTAAGCAATAAAACTTTTTGAGGTTGTAAAGGAACATTTGAGATTAGGTTGTACCAAATTTTAAGGTTCCATGCCAAACAGTTCATTTTATATGAACTTTAAAATATCATCAATTTAGTTTGACGTTTCTTGAGAGTGATTAAAGAAAAAAAATTATTTCTCCAAATCGAT